TGAGTCTACACCCAGTGAGTCCATCCAAGTGGATTAATCCACTATTAGTCTACACCCAGTGAGTCCATCCAAGTGGATTAATCCACTATTAGTCTACACCCAGTGAGTCCATCCAAGTGGATTAATCCACTATGATTCTACACCCAGTGAGTCCACTCAAGTGGATTAATCCACTATTAGTCTACACCCTCTCACAATCCATATGCTCTCCCCTGGACACTGTCTTCTCCGCCATCTTCCCTCCTCCCCCCAGACGCCTGAGGAAGGAGCGTGGACCACCATCTATGCGGCGGTCACCCCGGAACTGGAAGGAGTTGGTGGCCGCTACTTCTACAACGAGAAGGAGACCAGGTCCCTGCCGGTCACCTACGACCAGAAGCTGCAGCAACAGCTGTGGGCCACAAGCTGCCAGCTGACGGGCCTCCCCGACGGGAGCCGCGGCGCCATCTTGAGATAGCTGTGGCCCCGGGGCTCTGCGGCCCGGCTTGGTAGGCTCTCCGCCACCCAGAGGGACACTGGAGGTGACCACTCGTTGGTGGTCCTCAGCCTGAAGTCCTGGGATGCCCGAGTGCCAAATTGTCACGGGTGCCACGGGTCATTAAATCCTTCCACCTCCGTGTGCAGTTGTGCGTGCTTGGCCCACGGGGACCGAGGACTGGTTTTGAGGACCCAGTGAGGACACTCCATTAAGGGGACCGTGTGCCGTCTGCAGCCTGGTGGTGTGGCGGGGACTCTGTGGGATTCTCTGGGACAGGGCAGGCAGGGGGTGCCTGGCTGCCCATTCACCATGCAGGACGCTCAGGTGGCCGCCCTTGGTGGACCGGGCTCCTCTTAGAGGTCATCTGGGAGCACGTCCACCCCACTCCCCTGGTAGCACCTTCGGGTCTTGGACGGTCCATCAGTCCGTGCTTCTAGAATAGTAATCACCATGTCCAGTGCCCAGCGGAGCCCTAGATGTTTGTCCCTCAGTGACTGCGCTGACCCACGCCAGCTGGACAGTCCTCCTGAACCTACAGGTGCTGCCCATTGTCCCTCCAGGACCCTGAATCCTGCTCTCCCTGTCCTGGGACTAAGCACCTGGTGGGGATTGAACAGTCCCCAGCAGAGATTCCCTCCTTTTGGAATGGGAACTAGGTTCCCGCATCCCATCATGGAAATGCCCGGGATGCGTCCACCAGGGCCCCAGGGACCTCCCGCGAGGCTGCACCCTGGTTAGAGGTCAGTGGCCGTGGCTCAGCTGCCCGTCTGTCCCCTGCAGTGACAGGTCCCACTGAGGTCCCAACCTTGAGTCAGCTCCGCTCACATCCAGTGCCCGGGCTCCAACCTGGCGCTGGGGACGTGCGTCTCGCACTCACGGTTCATAGTTGTTTGGTCCGTGCTGACCTGGAGGCATGGACGACACTCGGCGTCGATGTCCGCAGGTGATCCGTGTGCAGGCCAGACCTCGCGGAAGTTCATGCATCGCGAAGCTCTGAAGATGGGCAGGGTTGAGTCACAGGACCCTGCCACCGTGGCCTGTCCCAAGCCACAGGGAGCTGCCCTCTGACACGTGGCACCTTGCACCGGAAGCCCACCCCTGGGAATGTTGCTCTCCAAGGTCACCCAAACCCGTGTGCCACCTCACCCCGGTCTATCCTCCTCATCCTACCGGATTGGACGGAAAGGGACGGAAAGAATGCAGAAGTCTTGCGCTCCAAGGTGCTGCGTGAGACGGTGTCACAGTGCCATTCCGTCACGCAGGTGCTCATCCATCATGTGTCCTAGAAGAGCAGGGGACATCTGCATGCTGGGGACAGTTGTAGTTTTGAAAGACGGATGATCCGTTCGACGGACAGATGGTAGAGAGATTGATGGAGATGATGGGTAGAGGTAGAAAGATGGTAGATTGACACATGATTGATTGATTGATTGATACTGAAACCAGTGACGGAAGGATGATACCTAGCCAGGTGGCTGGACAGACATAGAGGGTGGGTACAGAGGTCAGATGGCTTGGTGACAGGGAGTGGGGTAGAAAATAGAAATATATCAGCAAAGATAGTTACGTAAAGACGTATCTATGGATAGGTACAGATGGAGAGATGAGATAGGATGGTCGATCGATGGTCGGTCGGTGGTTGGTCGATGGTCACAGGTAGATGGACGTACAGATGATAGATAGATGATGGATAGATGATTGATAGACAGGTCCAATGGATAGACACATGGCAGAGAGTGAGATAGGAAGGAGAGGAACAGGCAGGGAGAGAGACGGATACCCACCAAGGAGACGTGGGTGGAGACGAAGACAGATGATAGAGAGATGATGGATTGAGAGTGGACAGATGAAAAGTTGGTCAGCTAAACAGGTAGGTCCACAATAGTTTAGACGGGTGGATGAGAGAAAGGTACTTGGATTGACATGTGTACGCAGTAGGTCAGATAGGAAGGGAGATGCCTACTAGATGATAGGTAAATGGTAGATCTATCAATAGGTGGTTGATTCAATAGATGGATGGATTAGGTAGATATGGATAGAGATGGATGGAGGAGACAGAGGTGAATGATACAGATTGACAGATGATTGATTGATTAGTGGATATGTGATAGATTTATGATGGATGGATGGATGGGTGGGTGAATGGAAGGACAGGTGGATGGGTGGAAGGATGGTGGATGGATGGGTGGATGGATGGATGGGTGGGTGGATGGAAGGACAGGTGGATGGGTGGATGGATGGGTGGGTGGATGGGTGG